GATTTCTTGCTTTATGTCTCTCTATCTCTCTCTGTCTTTCTGGCAAGCGCACGCACCTTATAGCAAAAACCTCTCCAAAAAAATAAATCAATAAAAATAATGAAAGAAAATAAAGACAGCATCTAAAAGGAGGCTATGCACACTTTCGCCGGTAGGGGTTCACTGTGCCAGGCACAGGCCGCCAATGTGGGAACAGTTGCCTCATTTCTTCTGGCTGTTCAGCTTTCAGTTATCGCCCACTGGCCCTGAAGGGAAACAAATTCCCCTGTATGAAATGCTCTTTGCTTGCCCCCCATGAAAGCAGATGTATATGCCTCACAGTCCTCGCAGAGTGGAACCTAGTGCACCTCCACTTGTTCCCAGTGACCGAGAGGAAACTACTGACAGGCAGTCCTGGGACTCAGATATTAATATCATACCCAGAGGCAGTCCTGGCTGAATTCCCTCAGTCAGTCACACATAACCTTTTTATTTATTTTCAACCAATTGTAGTTTGTCTCAATGATGTATGTGTATTTGTGTATATGTGTGCATTTAAGAAGACAGCGTGTAATTATCTCCTAGGATGACACGAATTTGCTAGTATTCAGGGCTGACACGTTCTCCCCGGCAAAGGGGTCAAACATGCCAATGTAAAAATTAATTCTGCAGTTCTGAACCTCCTTCCCATGAATTCAAAGTAATTTATGAGGGCTGGTCCTGCAATGCAGTGGTTAAAGGAACTGGATCCTACATGGGTGGCCATGGTTTGAATCCCAGCCCTGACAGCTTGAAAAGGTGGAATGGGTTGTAGTATGACTGCCTCATTGGGGGTGTTTTCTCTCTCTCATTCTCTCTGGCAAGCACACACACCTGGAACACACACACACACACACACACACACACACACACACACACCCCTTCAAAGTAATATATGAGAAAAATTGGCAAATCGTACATGCTATACAACTAAAAATTACTATTACGACTATCCCAGTCTAAGGAATCCAGTATTGGCCTGAGAATTACTTGTCAAGTCAACAATATCTTCAAGGAAGTGCTGTTGCCCTGCTAGTAAAATGGTTTAATATTACCTGCTAGTAAAATGGTTTAATATTACCTGCTAGTAAAATGGTTTAATACTATTGCCTTCCATTATTCCAAGCCACAGGAGACTGTTTGTTTCTTAACTTCTCAAATGTGAAAAACAAATCCATTTGCTAAGATTTCCAGTATGAAACAATTTCCAGCATTATACGAGCCACTGCCTACACACCAAGCAGAGATTCTTTTTACCCAGTTTTATATCCCACTCATGAGGCATTTTCATGTCTTGGACCACCAGCTCCCACCAGACACTGACAGAGTGTGAGAAAGTCTGAGTCCTGGGACAGGCATACAGGGTGGGGAGTCTGGCAATTAGCCCTGGCCTTTACTAGAGTAATGACTTCTGAATTCCTTTGAAGTAACAGGCTCACAAATAATACCATTTAAAAAAATTTATTTTTCTTTTTAGATTTTTGCCAGAGGGTTTTCTGGAGAAAGACACACAGAGAGGGAGAGTGGGAAATCACTCCCTGGGGGGCGGGGGAGCCACACCACAGTTCCTTCGCTCTTCTCTGGGGATTGTGGACTTGCACACACATGCACTGAGTATGTTTTTCCAGCCACTAGTCCTGGAGCATTTACCCACGTGGGCTCCAGCGCCTTAACCACCGCGCCACCTGCTGGCCCCATGGTGCCATTTCTTTTCCCACTGCCTTCTGTGAAGTATTTCCTCAGTCATCCAGAAGTGAAGTGGGAGCATTGTGAATCCATGATATTTTTATTCAGTCCTTCCTGAGATCCTGTCTCAAGGAGTCTTTTCCAGCTGTCATGATCCTGCTTCTCTGTTAGCTTTTCGTGGCCCGACAGACTTCAGTAAATGTTGGGATAAATGACTTGTCAACACTTGCTCTCTGTTTCTAACTTTATCTTCTGCCCTGTTCCTCCCATTGCACCCCTTCTGCCGGAACCACACCTTCTCTCTCCTTCTCACATTTATGTTCTGTTTTAGTTTTCTATCGCTACTGTAACAAATAATTTAAAATGTAGCAAGCTATTTACATATAAAAATAATTTGTGTTACTATATCACAATACAAATTTGTTATGTTACAGGTATGTTCCTCAGAGATGACATAGATCCCACTAGACTAAAACTAAAATCAAGGTGTCAGTAGGAATGGATTCCTTCCTCTTCTTCTTCTTTTTTTTAGGACTGTGTTCCTTCTGCAGGCTCTGTCGGAGCATCACTTTCCTTTCCTGTCCCAGCTTCTAGCAACCACCACCTTCCTTGGTTTGGGGTACCTCTCTTCCATTTTTTTTAAATAATTATTTATTTAGTCATTAATTTATTTTAATTTGACTAGAGAGATACACAGAGAGATAGAGAGGGAAAGTGAGAAAGCAAGCCACCAGGTTCGGTATTCGAACTGCAGTTGGCCATGTGGGAGTGTCCAGCCCCTTAACCACCACGCCACCTGCTGGTCCCCACCTCTCTTCCATTTTTTAAAATTAATTAATGAATGATTTTACATTTGCCGACACTTACTTTACATATCAAAAACTTTCACTCATATTCCATAGTTCTTGACAGTTAATAAATTTCAAAATAAAAAAAACCCTGAATTTTAAAGGTAAGTTTAAAAATATTTGTTATAATTTTGTTTGTGACTCTATAACAGAGACAGTATGGTTTTAAATATTTCTGAGAAAATATTGACATGTCAATTACTCAAACTGTTGAGAAGCAAACACCCAGCACACGATTCACCCATGAACCGTCCCGACTCAGTGCTGCCTACCAAGCATTCCGTGGTTTACCACCTGTTAGCAAAGATCAGCTTCCTTTTCTTCCTTCAGTCTTCCTCAAGGTCATCCTCTGGTTGTGACTGTTCTTTTTGCAATTTCAATTGATTACAATGCTGGGCTGGAGAAGTCCAGGTTATTTTATGGTACGAATTCTTTCATATAGGTTCTCTAATCCTCTCTGCCAGGCAGAACTGTTAATGGTGCCAGGCCATCTTTCCAAGAGCTTCTGTGGGCTTCCTTGAGATCTACCTTAATCCATAGTTTTCTGGTTAATCTTCAGAAATGACATTCTAGTCAAAGCCCTGGCAATAACGCCTCTCTTCCATCTTCAAAGCTAGCAGCTTGGGCAAGTTGCTCATGCGACTGTCTCTCTGGTTCTCCTCTCCCTCTTCTGCCTTCCTCTTCCACTTGAATTAGGCCAGTCTCCCTATGTTAATGTCTCCCAGTTAGCAACTTTAATTGGATCTACAGCCTTAAGTCCTCTTTGCCATGTAACCAAACACATTCACAGGTCTTGGGAAGTAGGATGTGAATCTCTCTGGGGACACAGTATCCTGCCTACTCCATGCTTTCTCCCATTCTCTGCCTCCCACATCATCAGAAGTGCTTTTAATTTCTTATTTTACAATGAATCCTAGCAATAACCAGTTAGTTGACTATTATTATCAAAAACCTTATGAGTAGGCTTCAGTTAAATAACACTGACTACAAATTGTATATCTATTTTTTTTTCTTTTTTTTTTTTTAAGCTTTGCTATAGGGAGCTTGTGCTCATTGGAAAGGGGGGGGGTGGGCAGGGAGAAAGAGGGAAAGTGAGAAATCACCCTCCAGGGGAGATAGCCACACTGGAATCCTTTCTTCCTCCATTCTCCTCTTGGGATTTTGGGCAGACATGCACACACACCTGGCGTATTTTTCAGGCCACTGGGTCTGGGACGCAGACCATGCATTCGGCTATGTGGGATCCAGTGCCTTAACCAGCACGTCACTGGCTGGCCCCAGATTTGTGTTTTCAGAAAAACATTCCACAATTTTCAATGGCTTAGTTCTTATTTTAAATACTGGTAACCACTCTGGGGATCCTACTAAAATACAAAGCATTTAAACATCCAATTGGTTTAAAGTAGCTAACTATATTAATGATAACATATTTATTAGTTCTATGTTATATTTAAACATTGAGAGACTATTTCAAATAAGTACAGTAGCTCCCCCTATCTGTGTTTTCACATTCCACAGTTTTAGCTGTCTTGTCAACTGAATTCTGAAAATAGGTGAGTATAGTGCAATACAATATTTTGAAAGACACCACATTTACATTTATTGCCATATATATAAATATATATATTTAAATTATATTATTTAACTTATTTATTTATTTTTATTTGACCAGGGAGGGACAGAGCAAGAGAGAGAGAGGGGGGAAAGTGAGAAAACAAGCTGCCAGGTCCAGGACCTAAATGGTGGTCAGCCATGTGGGAGTCCAGTGCCCTTGACCATCATGCCACTTGCTGGTCCCTATTGCAGTATATTTTGAAAATTGTTCTACTTTATTATTGTTGTTACTCTATAATCAAATGTCTTACTTTGATAAGTTGTAAATTAAACTTTAGATATCTAGGTATAGGATAAACATTTTTTTCCCTATCTAAGTATAGTGAAAAAAATCATATATAGGGGTTTGGTCCTATCTATGGTTTCAAGCAGTCATGGGGAGGGCAGTCTTGGAACATGTTCCCTACAGAGAAGAGGGAATTACTGTATTTTTTTTCAAAAGAATTATTTAAAATTTTTATTTATTTTTATTATTTCTTTTTAATTTTCTATAGGGCACATGTGTTCACCAGAGAGAGACAGAAAAAGAGGGAAAGTGAGAAAGCAAGCCACCAGGTGTGGGATTTGAACAGAAGTTGGCCATGTGGGAGCTCAGCACCCCAACCACCACACCACCTGCTGGCCCCAGGACTACTTATTTTAAAAGACTAGTACTAATGTCTAATGTTAAAGAATATCTGAAACATTCTGTAAAGAGTAGTCATATTTTGAGGACCTCAAACAAGGGGTCAGAGCTTGGGCTGGGGTAGGAATCACACCTGTTTGTTTCTAATATGATATCCTTAATAGAAAGGAAATTAGAGACAGGGAAAAGCAGCAGCCACTTGTTCTTGTTGAGGCCTCCACAGGGTGAGCTGTGTGTCTTGACTCTATGTCATGCTGATACTGTTGGAACAAATTCAGGGATAGTGCTGTTAGATTATAGAATCTTTTTCATCCCTTCCTCAGGGAAGCCTTCTTTAGCCACCCTAATTTATACTCAAAGGTATGTGTTATCATGAAATGTTAAACATTTTTTTTCTAATTATTATTTTTTTAAGGTTTTATAATAGGGTGCATGTGCTTGCTGGCGAGGTAGTGAGAAGGGAAGTGAGAAATTACCCCCCAGGGGAGTGACCATGCTGCAACCCGTTCTCCTCTCAGGATTTTGTGCAAGCATACATGCATGTCCAGCATGATTTTCAAGCCACCAATCAGTTCAAGTCCAGTACTTGAACTGTGGTCCACCGCATGGGAGTCCAGTGCCATAACCACTACGTCGCTTGTTGGGCCCACTCATGAACTCTTGTACTTCACCTTCAAGTCACTTATCACAACCTCATTACTGATTATTTTTATAATTGTTTACTATGTCTTCCATGTGATTTCCTTGCATACCACTGCATCCTTAGCTTCTACCACAGTGATCGCTCATATGGGACAATTCTGTTTGCTGAGTTGAATGAAGGCTTGTGGGGAGGGGAAAAGGCTATGATCTCTTGCTTCCTTGGTACTGTGTAGCATTTCAAGCACAAGCAATGTCCTCAGCTCTCAGTTAAGTGCTGTCTGAAAGAGCCCACATCTCACTGATTAGGAGGATGCAGTAGCTGAAGTCACCTCAGAGATTCCTTCCAGTTCTCCTTCTCTTGGAAACAATGTGAACTCAGCAAGGAAGACCTGCAGATTTTCTTAGATGTTACTTGTCATGGGCTTTCAGATCAACTTTTTAAGATTGTGAAGTTGGAACTATATCCATTTTATCTCTTTTAAAAAAATAATTATTTTTTAAATTAACTTTATTTAAATTTGACAAGAGAGGGTCAGAGGGAGAGAGAAAGTGAGAAAGCAAGTCACTAGGTCCAGGACTCAAACCACGGTCCACCATGTGGGAGTCCAGTGGCCTTAACGCCACCTGCTGGCCCCTATCTCTTAATTATATTTTGAAACTGATTCTCAAACTGTGGTCCCTGGACTATACCAACCTCACCAGCATCACCAAGGAATTTGTCAAAAGCACAAATCCTTGGGCCTCACCAGTGGGATGGGATTCTAAGGGTTTCCATTGTGTGCTAAACTTTGCCAAGCATGCTTTTAAAGCAAAGTTTCAGTCCACTTTACCTTGTTTGATGATGAAAAGAGCCTATTTATCTGTGCTAATGTAAATGTAATGGCCCAGACTGCAGACTATCTATATACCATGACTGTTACTTGCTGTGAATAGCCCAATGACACACAGTCTAGTCTTTCTGAGAGATTTTTTCCAATAGGGCGCATTGCACTCACTGGAGAGACAGAAAGTTAGAAATCACCCTGGGCGGGGGTGGGGGGGGGGGGGGGGATGGCCATGGCGCAATCCTTTCTCCTCTCCGGATTTTGGGCAAGGCATACTGACATGCCCGGCCTGAATTTCAAACCTCTGGGTCCTAACTCAACCGCCTTGACCACTGAGAGTCTACTCCTTAACCACTGTGCCACCTGCTAGACTATATTAGTCTTTTTAAAGTAGCGCCCTTCACAGAAACCTCAGGTAAAAACAAGCAGTTACAGATAGCAGCAGTACAACAACCTAGAGAGGTCACATTACTCAAATGAAAGGCTTCAGTTTTGCGTTATGTTGATTTGGGGGCAGGGGAGCAAGGGAGAGAAAAGGCCCTTGAAGACCCACTTACTAGTTTTTCCTCTTGGATTTTCCCGCTGTTACACTATTGACAGCGGAACCTTGTATTGCAGTGCACAAAAAGTAGAGCCAATAGTATTTTCCTCCAAGTTAAACCTGAACTATGAAAGAAAAGTGGCAAAATGAGACAAGGTTGGGGCCAGAGATGCAGAAGATAACGCGATTAGAACGTCCCCTTGTTTTCTGAACGCACTGGCTCTGCCGGTTCTCTGCCTTCTGATTCTTATCCCTGTGTGCACCGCCCGCAGGCCCAGCCCCGGCGTGGCTTCTTTCAGAGTCTCAGATGAGACCCTCCGAGACCAAGACCACACAGTCCCGAAAGCCCTCGCTTTACCGCTGGAGACCTCCGGGACCTTGCAGCCACCCAGCGGGGCGGAGTCTGGTCGGGATCCAGTCCCTCCCTGAGCCCCACCCCCTTACTGGGCTCCACCCCTCTCCTGGGCCACGCCCACGCCCCAACCCCGCCTCTTCCCTCCGCTCCCTTCGCCCCCTCCCGCCTCCAGTCCTTACGGCTCTTGGCGCCTGTGACGAAGCCGAAGCGTCGGGCGAGGGCGTCGCAGCCAATGAGAAGCCAGGGACTAAAGAAGTGACCAATGACTTGCTAGGATGGTTTGGGCGGCTGACCAATTATGAGGTCTAGCACCCGGAAATGGTTGCTAGCTCTGAAGCCTAGCTCGGCAGCAGTGAGTTGGGCTCCGCACGTGTGATAGCAACTGCACGCGGGAGGGGTCCGGCGTGGGTCGGATTTGAAGTCTCGCACGGGTGTGGCCGTGTAACTTTTAGATTTTGAGTAGGGGGGCCGTTTGTGGGAAGAATTCACACTGCTGCTCAGACCCTGTGTGTGTGGACTCCCTCTGATGGTGGCTTCCAGCGAGTAGCGTCTCCAGGAAGCCGCTCGCGCCGCGGGGGC